CTCTCTCTCTCTCTCTCTCTCTCGCTCTCTCGCTCTCTCTCTCTCTCTCGTTAATAATGTTAATAATTTTACCCTAAAGGCCGACATATACCATGCATATCATACAGTGAAGGCAAATGGTATTCCCGATGAAAACATAATTGTCATGCATTACGACGATATCGCTAACAATAGTCAAAACAAATACCCGGGAAAGGTATACAACGGGCCGACCGGTCATAACGGCACTGAAGTCTATAACGGCGTACCCAAGCATTACACCGGCGAAGACGTTAACCCAGAGGTAATTTTTTTGTAATTTATATTATTAGTTGTAATTAAAATATAATAATAATAACATTATTATTATAGACTTTCCTGAAAGTATTGGCTGGCGATGAGGGGTTGAAAAAAGCGGGCAAAAAAGTGTTGGAAAGCGGACCAAATGACCATGTGTTTATATTTTTTGATGACCATGGTGCTCCCGATTTGGTTGCCTTCCCCCATAAGTATTTATACGCTGAGCCGTTAATGAAAACATTAAAACAAATGCACCTGGATAAGAAATACGCCAAACTTGTATTTTATATTGAAGCTTGTGAATCAGGTATGTTATTAAATCATTTTATATTTATTTTACTAATTATAAATTGGATTATTAATTATTTACTGTATGTAATACTAATCCTTTATAATACACCAGGTTCAATGTTTTATAAATTACTACCCACCGATATTAATATATACGCCACGACTGCGTCTAAGCCCGACGAGGGTAGCGATTGGTGTTATTGGGACGAGGATATTCAAAATCATCTAGGTTAATAATAAACAATCAAACATTGTAAACAAAATTATTACCATGATTGATATTTGTACAGGCGATACGTATAGTGTTAACTGGATTATCAATACAGAGTCGGCCACCAAAGCGACAACATTTCAGGAGCAGTTTGATTACGTGAAGGCAAACACTCCCAACTCGGTTGCCCAACAATATGGTGATCTATCAATTGCAAAATTGCCCATCTCACTTTTCTTGGGTAAGCGTGTTATTATCTGATAGTTGTTTTATCTGACGTAAATACGTTTAAAATTAAAAATAGATTAATTCTTACATTGCAATTGTTACTAACTTATAAGTTATAACAAAGTAGCTAGTAACTTATTATTGATTTTTAGCATTTACTAATTATAAAAATGTGTTAATTTATAACAATTCATTTTTATAATTTAAATAATCTATTAATGTTTATAATAACAAAGTTAATTTAATTAATAAATGGTAATAATTTAGGATCAAAGAAAAACCCTGAGACAATATTTCAATTGAATGGTAACCGAGATGTGGGCAGTAATAGAGACGCACCGTTAGTGTTGGCCCAACGAAGCGGTGATTTTGAGAGATATCAACAATTAGTGACCGGAAGACAGTTTGTGGACAATATGTTCAGTGAATACGTGAATAGTATTCAACACTTAATGAACGCAAACAATGATGTCTTCAATACTAGACTAGAGCTCAATAACAGAGAGTGTTATCACAACTTTGTCGACACATTCAACGATCAGTGCCTTGAAATAACCAAGGTATGTCATCCATACAATTATCGGTTACACAGTATCATTACATTGTAATAAATTGTATTGTATTTATTTTTCCAATTTATAGCATACTTACGTTTTGGGCAAATTATACACATTTGTTAATATTTGTGAACAATTGAATGACTCGAGCGCTACCCAAGCCCTCAACCATTTGGTCCAATACTGCCAACAAAACATACTCAATGCTTATCCAAATAATATTTTGTAATATTATTGTAATAGTTGCCTTGGTTAACATAGTCATGCATTGTTATCTAAAATTATTAAGTTTTTATAACTAATAAACACGTATTACTTTTAGTATTAATTTTATTCAAATTATTTAAAATAACATAAAATGATAATTTATTGCATACATTTAAATGAGGCTATTACTTTTAAGTTTGACAAAGTTCCTCTATGCCCCCACCCCAACAAAACAATGAACACATAATACATCAAATTATATGTATACAATTATACATACAACTAAAATAAAAATTTTAATTATACATGTAACTCGTTAATATTTTATTTAAAAGATTGGCACTATACTTATTTATAATTACAACACTAATTTAATTAACATTTCAAATAATTGATATGACTAATATGCTATTTAAAGATTGTACTACAGCCTTTAAACCAATACTAACTATTTAAATTAAAAGAATTTAACATCATTAAAGTTTTTACTACATTTTTGTTATGATTTATGAAAAGTCATTACCTTGAGCATTTACTAGGCATTCAACTGTTTTTGTATTAATATAATAGGCTTTAAAAATCCTAAAATATAATATTTATTATTTAAACTTTCTAAATATTTTGAAATTAATATAAATTTAAATCAATTTTTGTAAATAATATATACTGTAACCATAAAGCAAGATTCGCACAGTATAATTTAGCTGTACATATTAAAAATACATATGGAATTGACCGCAACGACGCTATAATATTAATTATATTTTATTTTAATTATTTTTTCTAACACATTCAAATATAATATTTATCCATAGTCAACATGATGTTTATCATGTCCGCCAATCCATGATATTAGAGTTAATTGTTATGTTAAGATAATTTAATTCATTTAACAAATTAGCATAAATTGCTTGTATAAATTTGAATATTACACACAATTTAAATCAAACAACATGTATAAAATTATACATACAAATTAAATTAAAATTTTAATTATACATGTAACTTGTTAATATTTTATTCAGAAAAGTTGACCCCATAATTATTTATATATAAAAAATTTAATTGTTTTAATCCATCCATCCAACAACTTACTTCATTAACATTTTTATACTATACAATTAATGATTAATTGCTATATTTAAGCCATAAATTACCGTTTATTTATCAACGATGTAATTTTATTAGATATAACTGCCTCCAATAAGTGACAATCAAATGATCAATTTTTTTTAAATATTATGTTAAAGTAATAAATGTGCAAAAATACTATTATATGTAATAGATCAATATATACTGTACTCTCGCAAACACTATACTATTTGCGATTAACTAAATGCATTTAGGTACTCATTAAAGTAGTTGCCTCACAATGAGATTACTAACAAGATACATGTATATTCATACTAAATATTATTAATTTAACAATAAAATAAATTTTCACCAATGTAAGCTAACCATACTATAACAATAGATGATATACTACCAGGTTGGCCTTTGCGCTGGAGTTAAGCTTTACATGCTTATTATTTGACAATAATATATAAATGTTTATTTTTGATTAACTTGGAACATTCATGATTTCCAAGAAGTATTATGGCATAATCTCTATATACCCTGGGTGGTTAAAATTATAATCTCGTCTTTGTTATAATAATAAACTACAGTGCATTTTTATCATTTTAAATTTCTAATGAAACCGTACCATTATGGTAAAACAACCAGATGGAAAAATAACAATTTTACAACATTAGGTTGCAATTAAAAACTCAGAGATTAATTTTACCTGGGTATATATAAATCGTAGAATAATTATAATTTATAACAGTAATTAATATAGATCTATTTCATTAAATTATATACAATGAAAGTGTTGTGTTTGTTGTCGTTATTGTATTTATCGGTTAATTCATTGCCAGCCAATGAGTTTACCGGTAAGAAATGGGTTGTATTGGTAGCTGGGTCAAATACCTGGGATAATTATAGACATCAGGTAATTCTCTCTCTCTCTCTCTCTCTCTCTCTCTCTCTCTCTCT